TGATAAACATTCCTCCTCCTGTTGCCCAGGGTCACTTTCCACTTGTTTCCACCAGCTTAAGATTCCTTCCTGAGAGACTGGCTGTACGGGCCACCTTCTCCCAGGCCACCTCCAGACACTAAACGAGAACTGGGAAGAGGCCTTAAGTGTCCGGCAAATCAAGGCAACAATCCCAGGCCATTCTGAATGCTAGTGACTACTGGCCACAAACAGAACATTGCAAGAATGCTGGGGTTGAGGTGGGGAGTGGGAAAAAAGGAGGTAAGGTGGACCACTCTGAGCTGCTTAGCATAAGGACTATCTTATATTTCTGGGTAAGACGTTAGGACCCTGCGGAGCTGGTTTACCACAAGGCCTGCAGGCAAATGATGTTAAGGAGTGAAGTAGGTTCCAGTGTAAGAACCTACATCGTGATGGGTCCCAGTGAACTGGACAGCAGGTGGCACCTCATCGAAGCGGGACAGCCCCCACCCACCATGGTCATGTGGAGACGTGGGCTACTGTCCCTTTCAACTTTTTAAGAGAAACTAGAAATCCAAATTTTGTGGGACATTTCCCAGGCGTGGACACGTTGCACAGAACACGGAGCGCCCTCTGCTGGCAGGTTCGGCTCCCCGGCGGCCACTGTGCTACCCCTGAGGGCAAGCCCTTCCTGGTGAAGTCACCCTCCACGGTGTGCCACCAGATGCTGACTTAAAACAAACAAACAAAAAACCAAACCATGCTGGAGATTAGTCTCAGCATTTTGAACCAATGGCTAGAGGTTCACCAGGAAAGGTCTTCATGGAGATTCCAGGGGCTTATAGTTGTGTCCCACTGCTGTTGTAACAAATTAGGACAAACTGAATGGCTTAAACAATGCGAATTTATTATCTTACAGTTTTGCAGATCAGAAGTCTGACAAGAGTCTCATGGGGCTAAACTCAAGCCCTGTCCACAGGGCTGTGTTCCCTTCTGGAGGATCAGGGGAGAATCCACTTTCTTGCCTTTTCGTTGCTTCTAGAAGCCGCCGGCATTCCTCCGTTTATGACCCCGCCCCCCTTGTCTTCTAGGCAGAAGAGGGGCTTCAGCCCCCACATCAAATCTCTCACCACAGTGTGAAAAGGTTCTCTGCTTTTCAGGATTCATGTGATGCGGCAGGCAATCCAGTGTTATTTCCTCATGCGAGGTTGTAAAGTGTTTTTTTTGTTTGTTTGTTTTTTAATTTAAGCAATCTCTACACCCAACATGGGGCCTGAACTCACGACCCCGAGATTGAGAGTTGCATTTTCCACCCATGGAGGCAGCCAGGAGCCCCACAAAGTTGTAGTTTAAACGCCTCTGCAAAATCCCTTTTGCCACACAAGGTAATATTTTTATAGGATCCAGGCATTAGGGTATGAACACGGCTCTTCCCTAAACTTTTGAATCTTTTCCTCCTTCATCAAAAAAAGGTCTGGGGAGAGAAACCTATGATAAACAGCTTTCTTTCTTTCTCTTTCTTTTCTTCCTCTTTCTTTCTTCTTGTATTATTATTTTTTTTTTAAGAAGCCTTAATTCCACATACAGTATTATATTAGTTTCAGGTGTATAATACAGTGATTCAACAATTCTTTTTAAAAAACAGATTCTTTTTAAAAAAATTTATTTATTTGAGAGCGAGAAAGAGAGAGAGAGCACAAGGAGAAGTAGGCTCCCTGCTGAGTGGGGAGCCCAATGCAGGGCTCGATCCTGGGACTCCAGGAACATGACTCGTAGGCAGCTGCTTAACCAACTGAGCCACCCAGGTGCCCCTGATTCAACAATTCTGTCCATCACCCAGTGCTCCTCACAAGTGCACTCATAATTCCCTTCACCCATTTCATCCCTCCCCTCTCGTAACCCTCAGTTTGGGTGTACCTCTCTTCATAACCAGACTCACTACACTGCTCGCCCCCCCCCCCCAAAACAAGGCTGCCTTCTCTGTAAGAGATTATTCTAGCAAGGGCCTTTCTGGGCACCCAAGCCCAGCCCTCTCCAGCCAGTGTAATGCTCAGCTGCCTCTCTAGTTCATTCCATCTGCTACCTCAGGGTTCAGAAGCAGCCCTTCTCCCTGAGCTCCCCTCCCCGTGGAGCATCTCAGCTGGGATTAGTTACAGGGTGAGGGACTGTGCAAACATCTCTCCCTCTCCCCAGATGCATCGAAGGCTCAGGGGCTTGCTGCAGAGGCTGGAGTCTGTATCACCCAGGCCGGGGCTGGAGGCGGCCAGGGCAGGAGCAGAGCAGGACGACAAGACAGATATGGGCTGCCGTCCCTGAGGGGCAGGGCCCGGCCGGCTGGAAGCTCAGGCTGCTTCTGCCAAGGGCTCACTTAGTCCTGTCCACTGCCAAGTCCTTGGCTTGGGTTCAAACGGCCAGCTGCTCCCAAGAAGAGGATGAGGGAGTCTGGACTTTTAACAGCCTTCAGTGGTGGAGTGAGGGACGAAAGGCAGGGCAGCTGGATGGCTACACGGGGGTGAATCCTGGCATCTCCACTGCTCACTTCTGCGTGTGTCCTTGTGAAAATTACTTCACCTCAGATGCCTTGTTCTTAAGCAATGCCAAGGAAGGATACCTTTCATGGGGTTTTTAGGAGGATTAAATGGGTTAATATCTTAATATCTGTAAAGGCCGAAGACTGCCTCTGCAGAGCTGTCAGATGGCTTTGTTAAATACTACGTAACCTGCTCTGAGAGGATGATCTGTGGCCAAATCTGGTTTAGTAGCTCCACGTCTCCACTAGAAGTCAGACATAAGTTCTCAAGTGACTCGGCTCACGACAATGCTAGGGGATTTGCGTGAGGCACATTCACTCTGCACTCACACAGCTGTGTTTTAATTTATTTAAGCAATATCTCCACCCAGCGTGGGGCTCGAACTCCCCTGCTCCGTGAGGATCACCTTTGGCCAAATCTACTTTAGTAGTTATACTTGTCTACTGGAAGTTAGAAGGCGCTGCGGGTTACATCAACAGTAACAGATACATACACTAGACTAGAACAAAGGAGGTGCCAAGTCCATGGTACTCAGTGCTGGTCAGGTCGGTAGTCAGTCCGTCCTCTTGGATGACTTACCTCTGGGTTATTTCTACTTATTCTTAAGTCCTCCTGCCCATGGTTCTGATAGGGAGTCAATGCATTTTCATTGGAATCCACATTCCTAATGAAGGCCTCACTCTACCCCTTGGATAAACTTGACCCTCAACAGTCCTAGAAATCTGAGGTCCCAGCGACTACACTCTGCTTGAAGCACTAAGACCAGCCCTGGTTGCCACCAACCGAAGAGAGAAGCCACTGTCAGCCAGGCTGGGGAAGAAACTTGAAACAGGACGAACGCAGACTCTTGGACACGATCAAAGCTGCTAGGTGGAAAGCAGAGGACACAGGAGAACCAGGAGAGCTGGCTTCAAACCACAGGGAGGGACAGGGCAAGACAAAGAACACTTATTAAATACTGACTGTGCTCTGAGCTCAGTACCACATACTTAAACGCCCATTGCAACCTTGTGGAAGCAGGCAGAACTCTCGCAGGTGACGCGACGTGGGGAAGAGGCAAAGGGACCTGCCCAAAGGCCCCCATAGCCAGGGAGCCCAGGCTGGCAGATCTGTTGGCCTCACATCATGACCACTGTAACTGGACTGCGTAACACATGTGTGATTGTAGAGCTTTCTCATATTCAGAGCTGGCACGATGGTATGGAAGTTATGTACCGGTTCCTCACCATCGAAGGTGTCCAAGGAGGTGCTGGATGGAGATCTTCAAAGATATTAAAGAGAGAATTTATTCATGCCTTGTTGGAGGGTGGAAATGGATCATCTAGGAAAGCACCTTCTAGCTTTGAGATTCTGAGTTTCTATACTTTGGGGTAAGATAGACTCTTCGGGTATATTAAGGGACTTCCTTTCCCTGTATTTTTTACCTTCTTGTCTGTCCCCTTCTCCCCTTCATGCAGATATTCTGTTCTGGGAACATGTTTTTTCTAAAAGGAGGGAGGTGGTGGCTGGCAGTTTGGGCGGCTGGGATAGCAGAAACACCATACTACTCTCTCTGGTTGGTGAGTCTAAATTTTTACCAAGTTTACTAAGGAGACTGCGTTACACTCTGATGAAGCAAACCTGGAAAGTTGACAAGAGGAAGCAATTACATCACCCCTCCTTCCCTCTCCTCCAGTTTCTAGTTTCCAGGCAAGCCCCAGACCCCCTGAAAGTAGGATTTAGGGAAGGGGTTGATTTAAGTTTCATATTCTGCTATCCCATCACGATGGGGACTTGATATAGAATCTGGAAATTTTTTGGAAAATAAAGCAATATTTCCTGCACGCCTGAGCTAGGGAATAGAGACCTACTTTAAACCTGGCAGACAGAGCAGGGGTGCAAGCCTAACGTTTTTTGGTCCTCTGCTGCCCCTGTGTGGACACAGCGGGAAACAACACTTCAAGATTTCGCTTCTGGCCACAGCGAAATTGGACTTGAAAGAACCACCCCCTGAGAACCGCTGGAGGTTTATGACCACGATGAGGGAGTCAGGAACTGTTGCTATGGCCAGAAAGCCAGCGGCTTCCAGGAGAGAGGTGGGGAGCCCTTATAAGCTGTCAATGACTTCACCACGGTCTTGTCCACCATCTTTATTTTTCCTCAAGACATCTGCAGCCAGGAGGCGAGCCATCATCTCAAGACTCACAGGCATGCACCTCTGCGGCTTCTGGCCTCGACCAGCGCCCGCGGGCACAGCGCCAACCCTCCCACACCTTCTCTTCCTGCGCTTGGAGTAACAAGTCTGTGAGTGTCTCCCTCTGGTTTCACAGCTTTTCACACCCTCTCTTTACCGTCTGTCTCAACACCACCATCTACACAACATATCTACACCATGGCATGGCGTTCGTGCTTGAGGCATCCCTGACTCCCAGCGCAAGCACAGGACAGAGATGACACTTTTGTTCTTAAATGAGCGAGGGGGAACACTTGGGCACAACGGGGGGTGTGTGTATGTGTGTGTGTGTGCGGAGGGGGCTCTGGGTGACGGGGAGCAGCCTGGCTGGAATCCAGGGTGTCGGAGTCCCAGGACTGCCATCTACCTACAGCTTTAGCTGCTTCCTTCCCCGGTCAGCTCCCTCCTGGGTGCCCAGCACACCAACCAGCCTCACCCCCCATCCCCTCCCAACCAACAGCAGCAGTGGTGGGAGCCCCAGCCCTCTTACTCTCCTGCCCACAGGAGAGGATGGGATATCTGGGCCTCCTCTCTCCAGCTGGGAGCCAGGGCCAAATGTGCCTGGCCTGACCTCCTGTCCCCTCCCCTTATGCCTCCAGACCCTGCCGCAGCCTGCGATCCAGGGCCAGGAGCTGCCGCAAGAAGCCCCGGTTGGGGATGATGCCTCGGTGGTCCTTGACCTTCTTGATGGCCTCCACAAGGGTGAGGTGGTGGTACAGCATGAGGTAGGCCAGCACCAGCGTGGCGGACCGGCTCACGCCCACGGCGCAGTGCACCAGGATCTTCCCTGTGAGGACAGACACACGAGGCGGCCGTGGGACTGTATGTGGTGGGCTGGGGGCGGCGAGGGCTATGGGGCCGGGTGAGGAGGGAGACGGGGAAGCAGGGTGCAGACTGCGAGTGGGAGGAATGCCGACCCCTGGGATGCCTGGACGGGATATGACAGACCGATAGCATGCAGCAGCTCAGCCTCCGGGAGCCTGAAAAGGGCTCCCAGGGAGACAGATGCTCATCACTAATGCAAAACTGAGTCTCGCACAGAGTGGTGATCTGCCCAGCATTCCCAAGTGCATTAGCATCAGGCCTCTGTTAACACTGTGGATTCTTTCTTTCTCTTCTTCTCATGCACTGTCTTTTACAGATGACAGTGTTTTCTTGCCTTCCTATCAGATCCTGAGCCTCTGTCATGTCACTCAAATCTCTCCTGCCTTGAACCCTCCAGCTTTCCCCCAACTCCATGTCCCCGGTTCCTTCCCTCCCCCTGGCTTCCCGTTCCTACCTCCTGGCTGGCTCAGCGCCCGGTGGATGAAGTCCGCAGCTGTCTGGAAGTGGATGCTCATGTCAAAGGCTGGTGAGTCATGGGCCTCGACACCCAGATATCGGATGCCCAGCCCCTCGTAGGCCTCGGGGGTGCCTCGCCACCTGCTGTGTGAGGCGTTGAGGACATGCGTGATGCCCAGGCGGCGCAGCTCCCGGCGGTTGTTAGCGATGTCCCTGCGTAGAGCAGACGATAAAGGGAGGGTGGGGCAGCTAGGCTCCAGGCCAGGAAGCCGAGGCCTCCACCCTGTCCGCCGCCTTGATGACGTCACCGGCTCCAGGCCTCTGCCGTGCCTACGGAGGACCCAGAGTGGGGAACCAAGATGGCAACGACCCGGAGTTGCATCCTAGCACGAGGGTTGAGAGTTCTGGGGGAGGTTCTGACTGGAGAAGAGAAGACTATTGCAGTGGCTAACTATAGCCATAATGTAAAATATTGAAAGAGTCCTCCAAGGCAGTGGGATTTTACTTGATTTGTGGCCAGGAATGAGTGGTTCTGTACTTCGTGTATGGAAGTATGTACTAACTGTGAAATCCAGCAGAAGAAAAACAGAAACACCTTTGGAGGGAATGACTCTCCCGTCACTGGGGTATTCAAGCAGAGACAGAAAAGGTCAACATGGAGGTCAGTGCACCAGTGGGGATCTGGACCTTGGCTGGGTTGTTGGAACAGCTCATGTTCAACTTCCTGCTAACCTAGAGGTGAAAGGATTCTGACCCTGGCTCCCACACCTAACTCCCCTGTTGCTTTCTCTTTTTTTCAAGATTTTATTTATTTGAGAGAGAAAGAGAGAGAGAGAGAGAGATCACAAGTAGGCAGAGAGGCAGGCAGAGAGAGAGGGGGAAGCAGGCTCCCTGCTGAGCAGAGAGCCCGATGTGGGGCTCGATCCCAGGACCCTGAGATCATGACCAAAGGCAGAGGCTTAACCCACCGAGCCACCCAGGTGCCCCTCCCCTGTTGCTTTCTACTCTCTTTGATACCCAGAATCTTCTCACGTTCTACCAGTTATTCCATGCTCACATGACCCTGTCTTATGACATCACCTTGGGGTGATGGCCCACAACCCTCAGCTTAGTGGCAGACGCCTCTCAGGCAACATGGCTATACCTCAAGGCGAATGCCCTGTCCAGTGCAAACTCCTCAAGTACAACGAACACTGTACTTGAACCTCCAAGTCCTGGCTCTGCTACTTACGACCCATCTGACCTTGGGCCAGTCACAACATCTCTGAGCTTCAATTTTGCCTTTTGTAACCTGAGGGCAGTGGTACCTACCTCCCAAGGCTGTTGTGAAGATTAAGAGAGAAAATGCATGTGAAAAGCTCCTTGTAGACTATGAAGTCCTTGAGAGAGAGAAAAGTGAGGGGGACCCTTCCCTGGATGCTCTTCTCTCCAGGGCCCCCAAGCCCCAGAACCTCTGCGTGTGCTGTGGCTTTGCCTGGCCAACCCCTCGGCTTGCCACCCACTTCCTGGCACCCAATGGCTGCCCTTCACCAGCATCACGGCACCACAGATGGAAGGTCAGGGAAGTCATCTGTGATGTCTGCTGCATGACATCGGCACTCAATAATTAATTTTGCTAAGTGAGTGACATTATTGCTTAAACAGAGACTAGCTGTCCAGAGTTGGGCATATCAATAATCCTGCCCCAGCTCCCCCAAACCCTCCAGCTTCCACTCTCTGCCCATGCACCCCTGCCCCTCCCTCCTCAACCTGGAACCAACAACACAACTCAGGGCCTCCCCAACACCCTTCTCCTTCTTGCGTGCGTACACACACACACACACACACACACACACACAGAGCCATGACCCCGGGCTGCCGGCTACGTACTGGTCTCCGAGGTAGAGGCCCGGCCAGACCTCATCGGCATGGTTACAGGCGGTCTTGCCTGTGTAGAGCAGCCTCTCCAACTCAAAGACATTGAGGAAGGGATGTTGAACCGAGGGCATCTCCTCCAGGGCCCCTCTAGTGCGAACAGGAGACCTTGAGCCGCTCCGGGAGAAGCGGGCCATAAAAGTCATGGAGGCCCAGAGCCAGTTACCAGGGCACATCTCAGAGGCGGCTGCAGGCGTGTCCTCGAGCTGCTGATGGGTCAGTCTCCAGTGGCTGTTGCTGCAGGAGGGATGGAAGGGAGACACACCTGACTGGGTCCAGAGCAGCTGCTTCCCTTCTTGCCAGCTGGGCTGGGCCCTGGGGAGATGCCTCTCAAGGGAGGGAAGGGAACTGTGGCCCAGGGTGGGGCGCGGTGGGGGGGCGCGACACAATTACTCTCTCCCTCAAGCTGCAGTGGCTCCTTTCTGCTCTTTGGCTCAGCCAGTCAAGGAGGTGGGAGTCACATGTCCTTGTTTACGGGCAGAGGGAGCTGCCCAGCTGCTGGCTTTCTGCTCCGCCACTCCACCCCCACTCCCAACACACACACATAAACACACACACACATTTGATATTTGGGTGGCAGTGCCCGTTGTGGGAGCTCTTGCCAGCCAGAATCTGGGTCTCATCTGCCTGGGGCTCCAGGCAGAGAGCCCAGGGAGCTGGGATGGGAATGGGGGGTGGCTCTGGACCCATCCGGAGGGAATTAGCGGGAAGACAGCAGCAGCTAGGGCCATGACATATGCCAAGCCCGATTCTCAGCACCAGAGAGATGGGCTGCTTTAACCCATTCCTGCCCTACCACTGCCTCAGAGTTAGGCCTACTGTGGGATGTGTATGTTGGGGGCTGGAGTGAGTGGGGGAACAACAATACAGAGGAAGTGTAAGTTTTTGAAAAACACTTGCCAAAGGCATGCACTGATGGAAGAGGGTGCCAAGCTATGTGCACAATGGCCAAACCACTCTCCTTTGATCAGCATGCAGAAATTACTGATCGGACCTCATCTCTCATTTCTGAGTCAAGCAGGGCTGGAGTAATGTGTCTGGGTGTGTGGGGGAGAGGCAGAGGCTGGGGGCTGAAGAAGGGAAGGGATGAGGGCTCCTGCCAGGGTCTCAGAGGCTGAAATGGCCATCTGTGTTGCTGTTGGAGTCAAGTGACCCTATGCGGGGCATGGGGCTGGCAGGGAGGGGCTCAGCAGGTGTTCCCTGGACTCTCTGTGGACAGCTGGCCTTTCTGAAAGTGGGAGCTTGTTCAGAACGGCAGAGCTGGGAAGAGCCAGCCTTTGAGACTTGGCCTGGGTCCTTCAGGCAGAGAGGCCATTGTGATAAGAGCCCCTTTCTCCTCCTCCTCTCCCATCACCAGGGTGGGCCGGTCCCAAGGATTCCTTTTTTACTCCCTTCCTGGTCCTCAACTACTAGCTAGAGGCCATCTTTGACCTGCACACACTCTGTGAACCCATCCCTCCCTGTGAGCCAGGGCCCCCAGCTCTCCTTTCCCCTAGGCCAGGGGAGACCATGCAATAACAGGTCTTAGCGTGCAGGGGCATTAGGATCAGGGCTGCTGAGGGGAGCCTGAACCTTAGGGTGTTCAGGGAGAGAGATTTTTGCAAAGGCTGGGGTGGAGAGACCACAGAGATAATAGCACCATAGCCACCATCGCCATCACCACCACCATCATCATCGTTCGAACATCATCAACATCACCTGCCTTGTCTCCTCGCTCCTAAAGACCCCATCACTTTATTCCCAAAGAACGGTTTCTCGAAATAGCTTCTGCTGCCCGGGTGATTGACGCTACATGGTAAAGGGGAAGCGGGAAGGAGCTCAGATGTAGGAAGGAGCTCGGTGGGACTCTATTTCTCCCCGGGGCTGGAGAACCCCATTCCGTCCCGGGGTACACCCCTCGGCCTTCTCCAGCCCCATCCGCCGCGTTCAGGCGCCCGCGGCCTCCCTCCCGCCGCCGGGGCGGTTCTAACAGGTTCATGGCTGTCGCCCCGGCCGGCCGCGGCCAGCCCAGACAGTCCGGCGCTGGGGGTGCAGGGAGGGAGCCCTGGGGAGCTCAGCTGGCTCGGCTCCCGCGTCCCCTCCCTCGGTCCTCCCTCCCCACCACCCCCAGCCCCGAGCCGTGCGCCTCTCGGCGCCGCGAGGGAGGCGACCACCCCCACCCCCGCCCCGCAGCCCCTCTACCTCGGTGCGAGCGCGACGCGGGGTCTCAGTCCCGGAGGCCGAGGGCAGGCGCAGCTGCCAGCGCCACGGCCATGACTCTCCTGCCGCCGCCGCCGCCGCCGCCCCCGCCCGCTCCGCTGCCGCTGCGAGACCGGCTGACGGCTTAGCCTCTATTTTTAAGCCGTGACACGCACGTCGAAGCAGGGTTCACATCAGTGTGTGTGTGTGTGTGTCGGTGACACACAGAGACGCAGCCTCACCCGGCGGTCCGAGCGGACACGCCGCGCGGGCTCGCCCGCGGGTGTTTACCGACCAGACCCAGACCACGCAGCCGAGCAGCCCCGCCTCGCGTGCATGCTCGGGCGGACGTGTGTGTTAGGAGCTGCGCCAATTACAAGGCATGTTGCTTGAGGATGACATTATACAAGCCATCCCAGACGGTGCCTTTAACACACTCGCTCCTCCCCGGACAGCATTCGTTAATCACGTAGACAGGATGGCGCGCCTCACTTGTCCATGGCTTCTTCTCAGTAACACCGAGTCGTAAATTACACGGGTTGGTAGCCCTGATTCGTATTTACTATATACCACGTGTTTCACATCTCTGCACTCAGTTTATCCGCACCCCAGGTCTGTGCGATATGGGGACATTATCACTGTCCCCATTTTAGGGAGGAGGAGACTGAGGCCCAGGCAGGTGAAGTCATTTGCCAGGGCCACGCGCTAGTTATGGATTGAGCTGAGTTTCAGACCCTGGCAGTCAGACTCGAAGTTCATGTCCTTAACTGTTCTAAACCAGTGACCCCACACAAGGGAGAGGAAGAGTGGATTTTCCCCAGGAACCCACTTTGGGCAGCTGGGCTCTTAATGAACGCCTTTCCCCCTGAGGCTGGAAGAAACTCATGCCCCTACCCTTCACGTGTGCTGCCTTTTAGTGATGCTTAGCTCTACTTGATTTTCTACGGTAATCACCTTGTGGGTTCCAAGATGGTCAACACTTGGAAGGCAAGCTCGGGGCTGCTGTCCCCAGTCCTTACTTCATTGTTGATGGGGGATGTGGAGAGGGAATGAAGGCCATCAGGTGATGCTGTTGAAAAACAGGCAGATGAGGCCTTGGGGAGAGTTGTCTGCTGGAGGGAGGCAGGAAGTTGATAAGGTCAGGCGGGACCTGGTTTCAGAGGAGAAAACATTAGCAACTGTAGCAGAAATCAGGATTGACTATGTTCCCAGCAGGGGTGGTCGGTGAGGCTTTGATCTCTGGTCTTCTTTCTCTAGTGCTTACTGGCTAAAGTGACACAATCCTCAGGTCAATTCTGTGCTACAGAGGAGGTTCCATCACAGGCTGCAGGCCAGGATTAATGTCCCCTCCTAGCCTTTTCCTCTCTAGAGAAGCAAACTCACTTCCCCTCCATGCCTTCTTGGCATGGCGGTTTACATGAAGAAATGAAATCCTCATCATTCAAAACAAAGGATTGGCTTGGGAAATTTCAAATTTTAATTGTCCCCCCCCCAAAAAAAAGTCAGTAAAAGTCACAAGTCGGGGCGCCTGGATGGCTCAGTTAGTTGAACTTCTGCCTTGACTCAGGTCATGGTCCTGGGGTCTTGGGATCCAGCCCTGCAGCTAGCTCCCTGCTCAGCAAACCGGCTTCTCCCTCTCCCTCTGTGGCTCCCCCTGCTTGTGTGCGCTCTCTTTCTCTCTCTCTCTCTCCATCAAATAAATAAATAGAATACTTAAAAAAAAAAAATGGTCACAGGTCAAATCATGAAAGAGCACATATTATTGGATTAACCTCATTTTAAGTGACAGAGTCTTTAGGGTTGGTAGGTTGAGAAGGTATAGGTGAACTTGATCTCAAGCTTTGGCAAGACTTCCGTTTCAAACCTGCATTTCACTTTTCTCAAAAAGCTGGAAAAATATGCTCTAAGGCATGCTATGGACAACAGGGCCAGATGTTTTCAGGTAACCATAGAAGTTGTCCATGAATCAATATCTTCATCAATGGACCATTAATGACCAGATGTCAACCTGCAACTCCGGCAGCTTTATATTTTTCTTTTTTTCAGATTTTATTTATTTATTTGAGAGAGAGAGGCAGAGGGAGAGGGAGAAGCAGGCTGCCCACTGAGCAGGGAGCCCCATGCGGGACTCAATTTCAGGACCCTGGGATTATGACCTGAGCTGAAGGCAGACGCTTAATCGAATGAGCCACCTAGGCACCCTGGCTTTATATTTTTCTTAGTAGCTAGGACGGGTATTACGTTTCCAGGTGACAGCAAACTAAATTAAGGATGAGAGGGGGAGGGAGGCTGGAGGAGTTAGTAGGGAGAAGGTAATGCAGAAGATAGGACGGGAGAGGGTTGGAAGCTAATAGAAGCAGCATGTATTAATAATTTACTATCCGTCAATTTCTTGGGCTTTCACATTTATCAGCTAATTTAATCCCACCCAATTTGTAGGTGGGTGTTAGTATCATCACTGAATACACGAGGTGACAGACACTTGGGCCAGATGATAAGCTAATTCACCCACAGCTAGTCAGTGGCAGAGCACAGGTCCAAATACAGGGTTATCTGATTCCAAACGTTTATATTTCAAGATGACGCTGAAGAGTTGCTTCCTTTATAAAGTCTTTGTGGATCCACTCTCTTTTGTCTGCTTCCTTGTGTTGATACAGGTATCTATTGAAGGACACCTGAGCTATATGTAACTTCACTTATTTCTCTGTTTCTTTAAATCTCTGCCCTCCACACTAGAAAGCATGGATGCATTATACGAAGATGAACTAAAATGGAAAAATGAGGCTACTGAAAAACAGGAATAGATTTCCAAATGGTCTCAAAAGAAATGCCTCCCTCACCCCAAAATATTTAATTAAGAGAGAGGGAGAAGAAGTAGTGGGGGGGGGGACAAGAAACACCAACAACCATATGTTAAATGGTAATTCTAATTCCTACCATTAACTGCAGGCTGCGCACTATGCTAAGTGCTTTACATAGATTAGCTAATTCAATCCCATAAAGTAGGTAACATTAATTCCATTTTACAGCTGAGGAAACAGATCTTGAGTCGTGGCAAATCCACTCTGCCGCAGCCAAGTAGCTATAAGTGGGATTTGACGATGGATTTAAACCCAAGACTTATTTTTTTTTAAAGATTTTTATTTATTTATTTGACAGAGGTAGGCAAAGAGAAAGAAGGGGAAGCAGGCTCCCCGCTGAGCAGAGAGCCGGATAGAGGGCTTGATCCCAGGACCCGGTAATCATGACCTGAGCCGAAGGCAGAGGCTTTAACCCACTGAACCACCCAGGAACCCCTAAACCCAGGACTTTTTAAACCAAAGCCTGTACCTCACATCACTGTAGCAAGTGGGCACACCTAAAGAAAAAGAATAGCAACAGTTAAAATGTATCAAGTCCTCTTGTGTGTCAAGCAGGCATTCAGCAGAAGTTACAAGAAGGAAGGCTTACTTGAGCCTTAAATCCTGGTCCCTTAGGGGACGCGGCTCGCCAGGGGCAGGTTCCGCTGAGTGGGAGCGCTGGAGGCGGGAGAAACCCGGGACACCCGCCGCCGCAGGGCACGGCTTTCCCGACACAAGCCACAGCAGAAGGGCCGGGACCTGGCTTCCTTCCAGTCGCCGCGCCCTAAGAGACGCCCCGCCCATCGCTCCCGGGCTGGTTCCTCCCCGCCCCCGGCTCGAGCACCCTGACCTCTGCTGCGGGGTTAGACCGCGTTGACACCGGAAGGGTGCAGATGCCGTACACAGACAATTGTGACTTTATTTAGCGATGGGAATGGGGTGAGGGGAGGCGGGGCCGAAGACTCGACGTCCTTTGAGGGACCCCGTGTTGATTCTGCCTTGTTCTTCTACATCCCCATTCTCCCAGGGACTGTCCTTTGGCTTCTTCCTCCGCCCCTAGTTAGCACCTCCTCTCCCCTCGCTCCGCACGTGGGATTGGTGGGCCTGTCCTCTCAGGTGTCCGCCGGGTGTGAGTGAGCATTTCCTCTGCCGGGATCCTGCAGGTTCTGAATTGGGGGTGAGAGGAGGCACCAGGGTCCTTTTGGTAGAGGGACCATCGGGCTTTTGCTTCAACTCTGATAACTTCCTCTCCACCTCTCCTGTAATGCATTCTGTCGCCACTTTCCTTCTGGTTTACCAAAGGGTGAACACATCTTATCGCCGTGAATACTCACTTTCTCCTAAGAGCCACACATTATCGCACGGAGCAGATACAGCTTCCGTTAGCCTGGATGTGGAATGCAAATAAACTCCAGGGAGGCTAGTGCCTTTACAGCAGAAATAAACTAGGACATTATGTGCAAATAAAACAGGACACAGAAGGAATATGCAGCAAATCTCCCTATGAAAAAAAGAAGGGAAGAAAAAGAAAAGCAGGTATAAATACACATTTTGAAAAAGACCGAAAGGAAATATGTCAAATATTAAAAAAGAGGCCATCTCCAGGCAGAGGGGGGAGGACAGATAATTTTTATTTTGTGCTTTAAAATATCCACATTTCCCAATTTTTCTACAGTCCATATGACTTCTATTTTAAAGGTCAGTTCTATGAAATTGGTTGAGATTTCCTTAGTGGCTTTCCATGTGGCCGGTTTTTGCTTGAAGAGGCTAGTTAGTGTCTTTTGGGATGCAAGTTTCTATCTTGCTTTCCCTCCTATGTAAGGTTTTAATATATTCTAAATCCTTATTTTTTAAATCTTGATTTATCAGTTTTTGAGAGATGAATTAAAATCTCCTAGGTTTATGGGCTTGTTAATTCCTTAGTGTAATTGGGCAGGAATAAGGCACCCCCCCCCCCTCAAGAGGAACCCACCCTCAAAAGGATTTTACACCACCCCGGAAGGAGCGCTCCCCTGTCTCCCTTATGATAGATACGTGACAAAAAGCTGATTGGATGACAGGCATACGAGGGTTAATCAGATTAAAACAGCTCATCAACAAGCCCATAAAAACCCCTTAAGATTTAGAACCTTTGATGGCAATCCCTTTGGGTTTCCTCTCTCATTTTTAAAATAGAGCTTTGTTCTATCACTTTGCTATTGCTCAATAAACTTTGCTTTGCTGCCCACCACTCTGTCTGGTTTATCTCTTCAAGAACTGGGAGCACCGACAGAGAAAAAAAATCCTACAACATAATTCTGTCCATTGTTGTTTGGATAGTACCAAGTTGTGTTATTAGATCCATAAAATTCACAGGCTTTTAAAAAAAAAAAATTAAAACTTTTTCTTGGTAGGTTTTCTCTCTAAGAATTTAAAGAATTTGTCTG